GTAAAACGTTCATTTTCGTACAGTTTCACCAACGATTCTCTACTACTACTACTGCACACGATCTTTGGTTTCACCCCTTTTCTTTCCCCAAGAGTACAGTGTGTACCCTGTTTCACTACTCTGTCAAACTGGTTGTGCACAGGAGCCTCCACAGTTTTATTCTAGAGACGTTGGTTTTCAGCTTTAAACAGATCGCAATTTGTTTAACTCAACACAATACAGTGGAATCCTGTTATAACGAGAGGGAGGGGACCGGTACGAAATGTCCGTTATAGCAGGATTCTCGTTGTAAGGGATCCAGTAATACATTGAAAGGAAATAATAAAGTAGGCCTAATCTATGAGTTTGGTGTTCTGTTTATTTCTTGTTGTTATCCCCTCTGATGATGGCTTTGTTCAACATGTCTTCTAGGTCTTACTTGATCAAAAATTGAATCAAGTTTCTTTGTCTAGCGTTAGCGATGTTGACAGGTCAGCGTTGGTTATCAGAAAGAAAGTTCTCTAGGCTAACTCGCACGCTGTGTTGTCCCCCACGTTTATCTGATTGCGCTATAGCAGTATTTTATTTACAAAGATAAAGAAGGGGAAAAAAACCGGGGTTTTAGAATCATGTCTTTATAAAAGACTTCTCGTTACTTCAGGACTCGTTATAAGTGGACTCCACTGTAATAATAATAATAATAATAATAATAATAATAATAATAATAATAATAATAATAATAATAATAATAATAATAATAATAATAATAATAATAATAATAATAATAATATTAATAATAATGATGATGATAATAATAATAATAATAATAATAATAATAATAATAATAATAACAATAATAATAACAATAATAATAACAATAATGGTAATAATACTTTATAGCATAATTCATACTGCGCTTTTCCATTTTCAAAAAAAAAAAAAGAAGCTCAATGCACATTATATCGAAAAAGACATCACATTTTAAAAATTAATCGACTTGCGTGTACATAAGTAATGTATTATGCATATATAATATTTATGAGTTTATAAATTTCTATGAGAAAAACAGAGTCTCGCAGTGAGGTTGGAAATGTATTCACGAACAAACAACGCAATAAATATTCACGAACTGTCATAATAAACTTGAAACGTTAGTAACTAGAGTCATTCCAGCATTCGTTCTCTACAGATGGAAAAACATTTCCGTTCTCTCTCTCTCTCTCTCTCTCTCTCTCTCTCTCTCTCTCTCTCTCTCTCTTTCTCTCTCTCTCTCTCTCTCTCTCTCCCTCTCACTCTCTCTCTCTTTCTCTCATTCTCACTCGCTATTTCTTCAGTCATATACACCGGCATATTATATATGTACAGTACATCTTTATGACAGGTATGCATTTGAGAATAAAAAAATGCTTCAGCTAATTTTTGAAAATGTAAATTGTTGGGGCAGGTCTTATTTTATATCAGAGTTAGTTCTATACATGGGGACCAAAGAACAAAAAAGAACAGCTCGCCATAAAATTAATATGTTTTGTAATTAAACTTTTTCAATGGGTAGGAAATTTTGAATTTTGCCCGGATGGTGGCAGAAGCCTACTCTTATCGATTTTAGACCACCAATAGGGATCTTTAACGTGCGCAACTTGCACACGTGCCCTCCGAGATTTTTCGAGTTTGTCCGAGAAGGCTAGGTGTAGATATTTCCAACCAGAAGGTCAGGGGTGTAGCTGAAAGACAGCAGTGAGAAGGAGCCAAGGAGTAGCTGGAGAAAGGCTGGAGAAAAAGTCAGAAGCCATGAGGAAGGGGAAAATGAGGTGAGGGGGTGGATGCAGAAAGAGGAGACGAAAGCAGACGACAGAGCATTGCAAGAGAGCAGGAAAGAAGGTGGAAGGAGACAATTTTAGAGAAGAAAATGTTCTGTTGCTACCCGGATTCGAACCCGGGACCTTTGAATCAGAGGCCAACACCTTAATCTCAAGGCCACGAGAGTCCCCTGACGTAATTCCAGTTTAATACAGAAGGCGTAGTTTGACTCTATTTGGAACCAAATGAAGAATAAGGAGGGAAAGGTTGTTGGAGCCCCCGTCTATAACGAGACTGGTGGCTTGCCCTTCTTTTGCGCGCCCATGGTGTGCATCAACGTAGCCAAAGTTTTATACAGTTCAAAGAACAGCGGCCATGACAGTGCACGATCAAGGATAATAATAATTATAATAATAAATAGAGAGACCTCATTCGGGAAACCCCAGAGCTCCAGCAAGGGAGGGAAAACGCCAATATATCTAAGGGAAATAATCATTAAAATATATTGCTACTACAAAAAAACTATATTTTTACATTTTATTTGAAAAAGATCTACCAATAACTTTTTCAAAGCTGCAAGATTATTTACCAAGGGAGTATTTTAGTCTATTTATCTCAGTTTGCTTAGACAATATACTTTTTTAATTGCTTGCAGTTAAAGATATTCAGATATTTTGATAAGTAATTTTCATTAGCTTTACAAATGATTAAATACTTAATATGTACCTTAAATTATGTAAAAGTTGTGATCAAATGAAAACTTTCTCTGGCAGGCGGATCTTGCATCCGCTCAATTGCAACATACGGGTATCCGCCCAATATCACACCCATGCCGACGTCCGAGAGAGCGGTGTGAAATGGCGTTATGTCGCTCAGATCTTTTCTATCTATCCAGGGATTAGCCTCACACAAGGAGCCTACTGAAACCTCCTTGGCCTCACAGCACTAAACAAACACGTCCAAAATATCCAACTCGGAGTCTGAGTCAGGTAGTTCTCTTGGACAGTGTCGTCGTAATAGTAATAATAGTAATGATAATA